AGATTTTAAATATCTGTTAATGTAGAACTTAGCTTTTTATTTTATCATCAGCTGTCACAAGCAATTAAATGCAAGATTAAACTTACATGAGAATCATAGAAACCTGAAAGTTTCCAGAACAGCAAAGTAATAAAGATTTTCAAATGCATATATTACTTATGAGGTGATAGGTGGATGGATATAATCATAACTGAATTAAATTTGTAGAAAATGCTAAATTTTCTAAATTCTAAATACCCAGTCTGTAAAGCTAAGAAAATACATGAAAGAGAACGAGTCTATTTGGAAGTGAAATATATATTTTCAGGGTTTGTAATGTAGTGTAATAATGTACTTACTAGATTACATTAATCACTGAAAGGAAAAAGAGAGCATCTTTAGCTGTTTAGAATGTGTTGGTGCAAAATTAAGAATATTTACCTCCAGCTTCATATCTTTTACCTACAGTTGGTGATAATTTTAGCTATAATTCACAGCAAGGTAAAATTTCCCATTTCTCATAAAACAATCTCGATATTTTCTTCTGTAGGATTTATGTTTGGTTAAAGTGAAATTTTTTTGTATGGAAATCGTATAAATATTATCTAAACCTTTCTGCATTTGAGGAATACAAAGAGAGAAGCCATGTTTTCCTTTTTGAATCTCTCTTCTGCTGAATGTGATTTAGGTTTTATGGAAATCTCACACAGTAACCAAGTCAACTGTTAATTTCATTTACTATCCATCTTCTGCAGGGCAGATAACTTGGGTGTGTGCTGCTCTCCACTGCTTACAGTGACTAGCAGAGTCTGCTGCTCTGCCATTAACTTTGGTGGATGACTGTACCAGTTTGGATACTTGAATACGGTGAAAGGGATTTTATGATGGTAGGCAAGAGAAGGGGAAATCTGCCACTGGGTCAGGTAGAGTAGATGAAATGATGGCAATGCAGTCATTTTGCGTTTTGCAATTTCTGCTGCATCAACTTGTGAAAGATTTTCCAAGCTTCTGATTAATGTGAAAATTAAATTTAGAGTGGAAATGCCAAATTGTTAAGGATTTAATGTTCATTTTAACAAATGATAAAATAGAAAAGAACAATGGAAGCTGTGTATCCCATTTAGGAAATACCATTTTTGAAGCTTAAAGGCTATTACGCAAAAGTGGTAGGCACTTACATTAATATTGTCAGAAAAATGACGCTATGGCTTTGTGTTTTCTAGAACTCGTTGTCTGAAAAAGTTTTAAACTGGTTTATTTCAGTATACTGTTACTCATCACAGCTAAGTTTACATTTGCATGGCACAATGCATCATGGTGAATACTCCCACTTCTGATTGGGTCTGCATGATTCATTTCTCAGGATAATTAGCTGTGTGGAAAAGGGTTTATTAACTCAGGCAGTGTCATGATAGCATAGCTACACTGCTTCTGTTTAACCAGATTTGATTAGGTATTATTATGTGAAACTATTTGTACTGTATGAATTTCTAAATGATCTGACATTAAAATGCAGTTGTGCTTAAACACCATTTCTGTGAGCATGTTTGTAAAATAAAATAATCTATTCTTATGACATGTAAGGCACTGAAAAGGTTTTCTGGGTTTCACAAATCAGTGTTCTAACATCTTATTTTTATTTATCTTTAAAAATACCATTACAATTCCTTGATATACCAAAAGTTTGAATAAGAACTTCTATTGAATGAAAATCTTTGCTTAGATGATGAGATATTTGCAGATTTTGAGCTGCTGCTGACAAATGCAGTGTTAATGATCTGACAGATACAAGCTTGTGGTTTGGCTTTTTCTTTAAATAGAACCATTGCTTTTGCTGATGTTAATTGATATTTCATATTCAGGAGAGGCTAAATTTGGCAGGCCGGGAGCCCGTGCTTTCTTTCTGTTTGTGATTGCAGTGCTGATAGCCTAACTATGAACTTCCTTGGGCAGTGCTGCTTCTAACTCCCAGCCTGATAGATGAGTATTTCTAGAAATGAGCAGTAATTGAATCTCAGTGCTTACAAATTCCTTGTGTGCCTTTTGAAAAGAGACCACCTGCTGCGTTCTGTTGAATTAATTGTACTTATTTCTGTGATGTGTGCATCTGTCCAGAGAGAACAGAAAATTATGCTCTTTTCTCAGGGAAGTCTGTGGGTTGATTTTTAACTCACTGAAAGCAGGATAGTTAGAGCATTAAAACTCTGCCTCTGTTCCTATCATGTTTTCAGTCCAGAACCACAAAGAAGAGCATTCATAACACATACATCTGTAATGCTGTGCAGATTTTCCAGCCAAATTACCTCTATCTTTGCCTTAAAATCTGTGTTCAAACGCTTCATGACGAACTCTGCTAAATATGTTTGAGGTTGTTGTGTTCAGGTACCTTTTCTGGAACAAGCAGTTTCTGCTGTCCAGTGAAATGATAAAAATTCAGCAATGTGTGGATGGTGCAGATCTCATAAGGGTTTTTGGGATTATGCCAAGTCCAGTAGTTGTCTTTGTTCAGTGATAGAACTGAGCATGGCTGCTGAATTTCTGTGTGCATCTGGACCAGAATGAGTGGAGGTCTTTGAACTTTCTGGCTAAAATCACCCGAATGCATTTCTAAAAATACTGATGAAGGAGCAAGGAGATGGCGTTGCTCTGGACAGGTATGGTCACAGCTGTGTGTGATCTAAACAGGATGGCTGCCCAACTGTGTGACTGCCTCCTGTGTGTGCTGGAGCAACTCATACTAATGAGGACTTAAGCTCCCTCATGCCTTGTTCCTAAGCTGTGTGAACAAGCTTCACTGTTTTGTCTGTGAGACAAAATGTGAGACCTCCATGCAGGATGGCATGGATTTATTTTAAAATTTGAATGAATTTATATTGGGTAATCCTCTGAATAACCTGTTGTGTGTATGCAGAGGTTCTGCAGATATTCTTAAAATATCTATAATTCAATCATAAAATCTCATTTTGTCACACCCTGTATGCTTACAAATATTGTGTATACACAGCTCAGCAGTCCATAAATCCTTAAAATTCTCAGCAACTGGATTTTAAACAATCTGTGTTTTTTCATGTCAAAGTGAATGATTACATACTCACTATATACAATGGAAAATGGTTCAGAAGTGAAAGTTTGGAGGTTTTGGAAAAAAATGCATATTTTGCAATGAATCTTTAGTAAAACAGTGCTTCATAATCGTTTTGAAGATTAAAGGTCATCATTTAACTAGATCTTTATTCAGATTGGATGTATTTTTAGAGTAGTTTTTAAAATACCTGTCAACATACACAAATATTTGCTATGCCAAATGTGCCTGTTGATTCCAGTTTATTTATTGCCTCTTCTGGAAATAAATTCTACTTGTTCTTGACCTGCAGGCTGTTAATGGAATGATAATGCACTTCTGAACTGTGCAGCTCTTAAATGATCACAACAAATGCTCTCTGTCCCTGGAAGAGTCCAGTACATGGTTGGATGGGGTCCTGGGCAGCCTGATCCAGTGGGTTTGGAACTGGATGGTCTTCAGGGTCTCTTCCAACCTGGAGTATCCAAGGATTCTTTGAAACTCCCCTCTGCACTTCATCTGGATATATTTGAGTTTCAGGGTTGCTGTATGGCACTCTGAATGTTATCAGATAGCGTTCCATGTTTGGGGGAGAAAAAAAGAAGTTAGGCAAGATTCTGTATTGTATGGTCTCTAACTACATGTATTATCTGTGGAGTGCCATACTGAATAACTTGTATGTATACTGTAGTATTTTTCCCTTACTCTTTTTTTTTGCATAATATTGTATTTTTCTTTATTATGATGATTTGCAGCAGTTGCTTTGAAACCCCTGTATTGTGGAAGTTATGTGGAACACAGCGTGTTTGAATACCCAGTTATACCTACCATAGGTCATGCAAAAAATGGGAAAAAATGAAATTCTGTGAAGTCAATTAAGGCTCATGTTAATGAGAAAATAGATCTTTATTATGAAGAATCCATTACAGGAAAACCACGATTAATATATAAGAAATTACGCTATGTTCAGTTACTGAAAAAACACCAAATACAGTGTAAGCATGCTAAAAATCTGAACAGGCTCCCATCAACCCAAACTTCAAACAATTTTGACTTGGTCTTTTTGACTGTGTTTACTTTCCATGACAGAAAATAGAAAAAGATTTTCCCATACTCAGCAACTTTTGCAGCTACTGATAGATCTTCTCTATTCTCTTAACTATTTTTTCAGTCTTCACATATGTAATTTCTTAAATGTAGGAATGAAAGAGAAATTAATGATGGTGGAGGAATACTGTATTTAAAACAGTATCACAGAAGCTTTGGTGCTACATTGCTGACTTTTTGTAGGTCTTAACATGTGGTGCTTGAAGTCATGCACATGTTTGTTGCTTAGGAATATATCTTCTGCTGTGATAGTTTTCAGAAATGAGCTGTTATTGTGCATATCTGACTTGTAAGACTATACTGCTCTTCTCCACAACAATGAAATGTCCTGGGCTCTAAAAGCTGTCATATTAAATTACGGGTGATCCTCACCTACACAAACCAGGCCTTCAGGTTTCAACCTGAGCATCAGCAATGCCAATTGAAATGTGGATTTTATGAGCTTATATTTGAAATAACAGGATGAAAAATCTTGAAGCTTTCTGTAATATTAATCCATAATGAATATTACATCTTGATTATAATAGACTGAAAGCATGAAAGCAGTTTATGCCTTTTTTCTTAACATATTCTGCCTCACCCCCCAGGAATGTGTGTTTTTAAATAAGATCCTAGGGGCCATTGTGTTCAGGCTCAAGTACTCAATATTCTTTGAAGAGGTTTTCCAAGAGCCCACATTGCTTATATCTCTGCCTGATTGCAAAACCCTGTAGTGGTGAATCCCTCTGCTAGATGAAGTTCAAAATCATGACCTGTATAAAATGAGAAGTATACATGCTACAGTTTAGAAAGAAAATAATAAAATTGTGATTACTCTGACTGGTCCTGTAATATGTACTTATGTGTTTTACAGATGCAAACACTGTGACACCATGTTCATTGGAATAAGAATGTATTTCAGTTTCGTGTTAACTGGACTTCATATTGAGAAAGGTTGGTTTTGAGATCATGACAATTTTAATGGTGAATGAACTTGCATGGCTGTGTAAATACACAGCCATGTACGTTTGTAAGTATGCGGATGTGTTTGTATCTGTTTGTGCACAGATTTAAACTTCAGCTAACTTCACTGATTTCAGGCATGCTGTAGGCTCTGAACCATTTCCTGAAACTCTGAACCTTTTCAGAGTTTTCATGTTTTCTCCACATATTAATTAGTAATATGAAAAAAGTTTAAGAAATTGTTTATGCTTGATGGAAGAAGACTATTTCCTGGTAAATATACTAGCTGCCACATCTACTGCAAAATGAGAATAGTGCATTTTTGTCATTGGACCAACAACGTAAAATTTTGTGATGACTAGCTTTGGAGTCTGCATGCCTTGAATCTTAGAACTGCACAGTTTTCCCATAGAATCAGTGTTTCCCTTTTAAGCCTGTTAATTTTGCTAAATTGCTTATGTTATGAATTAATTGAATCGCGGTATTTTAATTACGTGTGTTCATAGTCATTTTATAAATAGTTGACAGGGATAGGTCATTTAATTATATTTTATCTGTAAGAAAGCATTAGCTCTGCTGCAACTGATAGCTAGCAAGGCCATCTGCACTGCCTTTCAGTTCACTCACACTGAATTGTTCAGATAAAGACTGTCAAGTGCTGCCTAAATAAGGAAGGAGCCTTGGTAAAGTTAAGTGCAGTGGAGGACACAAATGAAGCATTGATTCCAGGCATGCTGTAGAGTCTGAGCTGTTTCCTGCAATTCTGATCCTTTTTTGAGTTTTCATTGTTGTTTTCTCCAAGTATTAAAATGCGAGTATCTGTCACTCAGGAATTCACAGAGGATGAAAATGAGAATGGAGAAGAAGAAAGGGTGAGTTAAACCCAATAGCTTTTAGAAATATATATTTTTTTCTTTACTTGTTACTCTTTTAGGACAAGAAAACTGGAATGATTACCTTTCTTTTATAGGTCTTCCTCAAGCCTGTTATTGAGGACAGAAACATGGAGCTGGCCCGAAAATGCAGTGAAATAATAAGTGATGTAAGTGACAGTGATAGTTTGCATCCTTATATTTGCATTTCTCTTTTCAGTGGTTTTATTTTTACCACATATATACATTTACAGTCCATATTTAATCAGAAATGTGCCATGCAGCATGTGCCCATCCAAGACGCAAAAATAAGGCACAAATAATAGAAAAGCACAGCATGCTCTGATACCTTGAATTATTATTAATTGTGGAAGGATGAGTTTTTTGGAGCACTTAAGCTATATGAAGCATAGGCCTAGGAAGAAGTTTCAGAAGTTGGGTCTCATGCAGAGGATGACTCCCATGAGAACAATTTGGCTGATCTCACCAGTAAAATGCAGTATTTTTGCCGGTTGCTGCTCAATCCTATGAAGTTTGGTTGGTTAAAATAGAATTGGGTGCTGTACTTACATAGTTGTAAAGAGAGAAGATAAAAGTCAAACAGATCAACTTTGGTTATTGTCTATTAGTCTTTGGTGATAGAAGCTCAAATCTGTGTAACATATTATTATTGACTTGCAGTTATGAGAAAAACCCAATGAAATGATAGGGTAAAGTGAGTCTGAAAAGTAGCTTTTCCCCTTCATATGAACTGCAATTGGAATTATTGTTCTATACAGCATGTTGAGGATGGTGGCAACTGAGAAAATGTCAATGGAGAGAGACTTTCTTTCACAACTGTTCTCCTAATGAAACTGAAATCGGGGACTGTTTCATGATGTGTTATAATATTACTAGAGCACATGTTGCATTAATACAAGGTTCAGGATGTTATTGTTCAAGGTTAATGATGTTTTGAGAATAGGGTGTACAGAATCTACGTTTTAAATAATGAGAGGATATGTATCAGAAAAAATAGGAAAAACAGTACCTTGGGGACGTAGGTTTTACAGTGCTGGCTCAAAAGTGTGACTTGACAAATAAAAAGCTTTCTCTCTGTACATGGACCATCTAGTAGTACTTTAATTTTTCACAAGAAGATTGCTGAAAATTAGAAAGATCCTTAAAAGAAGCCACCATGATGGCTCCTTTGTAATCTCAAGCTGTTTTAGGAAGTGGTAAAGATTATTACTATTTTTACTGATGTCTGTCTACAAATTTTCTGTGGTAATGAACAGCATCTGACATAATAAAACATGGGAAGGCCAACTGAAAATGGAGATGGAATACCAGTCCCAAAATATGTCTTGCTTCTGTGCAGTTTGTTTTTCTAAACATGATTGCTGTTCTTCAAGGCAAAAACTCCCTGAAAAATGTTGAAGAAATATTTGTTTTCATTGAAAGAAATCACTACTGTGCTGTGTACCCATTAGTGGTAATGTTGGTGGTGATTTTTACGCACTACATTTAGCAGTTAATTGTATTTTCTCTAAATTTCTTCAGGGTCTTGGGAGCTAAACTGAGTAATTAAGTTAAGCCAGGTTCCAGTAATCTGTAACAGTGTAGAGATGTGGTCTTTTGCTGAAAGCTTGCCTTGCATTTAGCCTGCAAATGCTTTCGATTTTCATTGAGAGATGTGAAACATAATGGCAACGTGTCATTAATGCTTTCAAGACTGTAGCAATAAGTAATGGTCCAGAACAAATTTAATTTCAAAGATGATGTTCTTTGTTTAAAAAATGCCACTCGTTCTGGGGGCTTTATTCAGACTACGCTGAAGTCAGTAGGCGTGTTCTAATTGGCTTGAATGGAATGTGTGTATGCTTAGGGAATGAACTGGAATTTCTTGTGACCAGTAATGTTCTGTAGTAGGTTCTTTACCTTGCATACTTCACAGAGGAGCCCAATCAGTTGCAAGGAATTTACATTTTGATACAATAATGTTCAAAACTTTTTATATATTCTTCATGCTTTTTTTTTTTTTTGGCATGAATCTTTGATCATACTGCTGTTTGTGTGAATGTATTGTTGGTGAATATCTGTTCATTTTAGCTGCACAGTGTTTTTTTTTTTTTT